CTTAAGTTAATTACCTGCTTTGATGAGGTCAAGAAAGTCAGTCATTTGTCGGCAAACAAGTGTCTACACCTGCTTCTATGACAGTTTTATGTGATAAGTCTTGCCTTCCTTAGGTGGTAAGAAATTTGTCTATTAAATCGCCTTTTCTAGCGCTTTACTTAACTTTCGGAGGGACTTTTACTATAAACAAAAGAAATGAGCATCCAAAATAGTAAAAACTTATGAGGGGAAATTTTCCATAACTGCAACACTGTGGTAAACTAACAGCAATTACTGATGATGAATATTTGCTGAGTTCTTCATTTACTGCCACATCGAGTCACTCCTCCAACTTCCTCCTCATCCGCAAGTGTTGCAAAGTCACGCAGTCAATATTGTTCCTAAGGCCGAGCGCATGTGCAGCGGCAATTGCAGTTTTGATCATTTGACAATAACATTTCTGCGATACTAGTGCGTCTTTTAGTCGCTAATACCTAAAGTGAGACTCCAAGGCACTTAAATGGAGGCTTTTATGGTAAGATGAGCGGAGACGGTGAAGAGAACTTTCAAACATGCTAGTATTGTGCACAGCTTTCCTATGCTCCTGCTTATTTTATACCACAATTATCAACAATGCAGTGCAGCAATGCACACTGAGTGTCTGTCGACATAAAAAGCATCTGAGCACAAAAGAGGATCAGAAATTACATCATTTACTAGATTATTTGGCCCATTGAGTGCTCTCTTTTAAAGCGGCCTTTAATTGCAAGTTCGCCCTTGGACAGACGAGATGACAGCTTCAATGTCCTTTAACCTAACTTTCTCATATTCATTATGGGGAGGCATTTCAAGGGGACATTTCGGTAGTTGGTGGCTGTCTGATAGCTGCTGGTGAAACTCGCCATAGGGCTCACCAACGCAAGAAATACCAATTGGCATTATGAAATAAATATGAACCGAATTAAGCGAAAATTTCTGCAGCTGGCGCCACTACCTCAGGATTAGTAAATCACCGTCTGACCATCTGGTTTTACGAACAAAACGCGCACCATCGAGCAAACAAAAGTGCCTCTAAAAGGAAAAGTTATTATCATCCTCCTTTTTATCCGTCTTCACCACATGTGGACTGGTTTCAGTGCAGTTGTTCTGCAATTAGTCCTCGTGCTGGAAACTTTCACGTGAGACTTTTGTTCGCTCACTTGTTCGACTCTCCACGATTTCCTGTTTATCTCAGTGTGCCAAATTGGTGCTCGGGAAACAGTAACTCTCCTCTTGCATTGAATTTCAGCCAGTTATCGGGACCGATTACAATGAGGACATGGAGTAAAATAAATAGTGGAAAAGTGAAGAAGTCTAAGATGCTACTTTTAAAGGATTTTTTAAACAACGTATATTTGACCCGCGTTGTTAAATATAGCGCTAAAAATGTTGCAAACAATACACATAGTTAAGTTGTCGAAGGAGCGTACAGGACATTCTTACTAGCTTTATAACGGTATCATGAAGGTCGTTTGTTTTGTTCTCTACTGTCACCTTGATGTAGAAATAAGTCTTTTTTGAATAGTTTTACTATTTTACTAGTCAAAGAATAGAACAACACGAGGAGCAGAGATATCACCTATTTTTTACAACGCGACATTTGGATGATTTAATATGATGGAAAGCACTGGTAGGGCTTTCCGTTTAAAGTAAAATAATGTGCCTAAACAGTTCTTGGCCAGGCTGAAAACGCGTTGGTGAATGAGGTGGGCAGAAAGGTTATGACGATAGTGTAAATGTCGCCATTCCTACTACGATATTTTGTGAGGACAGCATTCCTCCCCAACTGAAAGTGATCGACAATATTTTTCGTCGACGGGATGTGGGCTTGTGAAGACAGGCGTTCATGGTTGGAGAACCACAAGGGTCCATGTGGTTGAAAGAAGTCGGAAACTGCAATGGTTAATAAGCTAAGTCAAACGGAAGGTGAAAAAAACATCTGATTTCGTTATGTGGTACAAGAATTCGGCTCTTTGATTAGTCTCTACTGCTGTTCAAAACAAGCACTGCCTTGACATCTAGGCCTACTAGGGGAATTTTATGCTAAACATTTTTACACATACAAAGTAGAATTTACGTAACGCACAATGGATTGACACATGCTAAATGGATGTGATACAAACATAATACAAATCAGTAGTCTTTTATCCACATTACCTTTGATCAGTAGACGGTACTCATTTGTTTTAGGCCTAGTGAACTTGCAGCATTAATAATCCTGAGGTGATTCACAATTGTGTTTGCGATAACCTTGAATTCTCCTGAGCAGTGCCGACATTTTGTTTCTCACTAGGATAGAATATGAGGCATAATTAGCTTTTTTAAGTTGATCGAATTCAGGTTAAGGTGCTGCCAGAAGAGCTCCCAGACTGTAGATCAGTGCGTGACGCAAAGGCGCTTAAGTCACACCCTGCTTAAGTTGTCCCATTCTCTGTAAGGTATCAAAATAGAAGAGTGAGTGAATAGAGTAATGCGAAGTCCACTATCCCGTTCGAATGTTGCAGAACAGTGCCTTTGACATTTCCAAATAAGCCCCTGGATTTTTAAACTCTGTGCAAGGCAATTACGTGAACCGAAGCTATTTGTACAAAGCTTTATTAGCACAATGAATCCTAATTCCCATTTAAATGAATGGAAGCAAACCGTTAGTTTATCCATAACATTATTTAGCTGGACGTTCAGTAGTGAAGGCGATTGCGGATCCAACTGAGGCTCCGAGTGTTCGAGTCCTATTTACTAAACCAAATTGTGCTGGTACTACTGGTAAATGCCGACGAAATTGGTCTCCAGGACGTCTCGAAAATGACCGGTAAAATATGAATCCGGGTTAATTACTCGCCTTCTTGCCCATCCTCACCCACACTCCTATCTGTGGGTGGCCGTGGAGTGGCGTTGATTGCCTCTCGCAATTTTAATCGCCCAACTGGTCCAAAGTTCACACGCAGTTTGTGTGCATGTGTTGCCACTGTTTAAGGAAGAAAAAAGCGTTTTTTTTCACACCTGTAAGCAAATTACATCGACATAGATAAAGCTATCAGATCGTGTTTTAAGCATTTGAAGGAGAGGCAAGTCTTTGATTTTATCCAGTGATTTGGAATCACTCTTTGTTTTGAGAAAATGTTCTTTGTTTGCATTTACACATCCAGTCTTCCTTTTCGCTCTTCCTCTTTTTTCCTATCTGCTCTACCGCCATCAGTTTGATTTTTATGCTGTGAAGTAGCTACACTAGTCTGTCTAGATTCTTTAAATGTCTCATTCCTAACAAGCACATGATTCCTTAAGAAGTCTACCGACTATGCCTAACTTAAGCTCTTCTCACTTTAGCTCAAATTTTTAGTGGCAGTACACTAATAAGATCCTTGAAATCAGCTAAATCTGGTTTTACTAAAATCTAGGCATATTGGTACAACCTGATTTAAATAGCTTTAACTGATTTTAAATTGCCATAATGAAGGGTGAAAGCCTAAAGATCTTATTTAAACTTGGTAAAATGAAAGCTAGGGTTTAACAGATTGCTCTTGTAGTTTCGCAGACGGCCTGCGCACGATTCTTGTAACAGTGGTTGCACCAGTGGGATCAGGGGCGAATTTGGGGGCTAAGTAGAGCTACAGCCTACGTTGTGAGGTACAGTTCCCATGCCAAGGCGCACTCCTTTTCCGCATCAGCACCATCAGAGTGGAAAGGAAACATAAGGATAAAAACACCTCCAATGATTTGTAAGTTTTCAACTTAAAGCTAAAGTGCAAGTAAACTCGGTATTTGCTCTTGCTAAAATGAAATCGAAAATTAATGCTGGTAAAGCATTCCATTTCCAGGCTGTCGACCAAATCGACTGCGCATCTGCGAATAGTAGCGGTGATGACAGTCATGCAATTTGATGTTAATAGCTTACACGATAACAAAAAGGACGTAGACTTCCCAAAATGTGGAGCTAAGTAGAGAGAGTTTTAGTGATTCAAACCTTCCTACTTTCAGCATATGCGTGCAGTTTACTGATACATAAAAATGAATAGGAAGACTGTCAAATTTTAGGACTTGTCAATGTTAAAGTTTTACTTTAAAACTGAAATATAAACCGCATTTCGTTGCAAGTGGTTTCAATCAGTAACTCCCTTCTCAAAGTCAACTAAGAGCGCGTAGAAAACGGAAAATATGCCGATGTCCTTAAACCACTTGTTAGAAACTAAGACAGGGCGATAAGAGCTTCAAGATCATGGTGTGTCAAGTGGATTGTGTGTTTTGCGGACAAAATGCTGCATAAAAATACATCCAAAGCGTCCTTCGTCATTGATCCTTCTCTTCTTTTGAAAATTTTAAATGCACAACTTACTCCAAAGCTCTTTCACTTCCCAAAACCAATCTTTTACTTAACAGTTTTGTAAATTTTTAGGTAATTTAAACCACATAGGATTGCGGTTGCCCCAATGGCGTAACAATTGCTTGATAGAAAATCGAAAAAAAAATAATAAAACACGGTTTGCACTTTTAAAAGCGGTATAGGTAATCAAGGTCGGCTACTTTAGTTTATGTGCAAACAAGAAGATCAAATGTAAAGATGGGGTGCTATAAGGCGAACAATTGCATTGAATTAGGCGGTTTGGCAGAGGGTGACATAAAAATTGGTAATGCTCATAAAAAGACAATTTTACGGGGATATGCGCCATTGCTAAGGAAGAACACTACTTCATCAAACACGAGTTTCATAAGTTTTGCGACAATTCTTATAAAGGCCAAGGTTTTTCGCTAAAATATGCAAGTTTAGTTTTGGTAATTTTACACTGGGCACGGTACGGGTTGTTAATATTTTGTCCAATCCCCTTTTAATGCCCATGTCAACAGCGCACAAATCCACACTTGTGATTGGATCACGTCTCCCACACCAAAGTGACTACTGACGCGAGTTCAGTGATTGGCTAGAGGCACTAAATATCGAAGCACGAAGGAGGTATACTATCGCAGCTTTTCTAGTTTTAAAAAGAACCATGGAGATTCTGGGCTCAGAAAAATACTACCTCCTCTCTGTCAGCGACACAGACCTCTGCTGCAGTCAGCAAGATTTGCAACGACTTCGAGAACCCTCCAATCCAATGCAGTCCTCGATGGCAATTAGTAACTTCTACCGATCAGCTTTCAAAGTACCCACTAAATTGTCTTCCTCCCCTCCAGAATGCAAACAACAGCAATTCCAGAATGGCCCCTTTTGGTCCTCTTCTTCAGGAGAATGGAAATGCACTCTCCCCATGGAAGGAGAGAGTCCCTGCTTCTACAGCTCAATGAACGATTTACAGGAAGGACCAATTGACTTGTCGTTATCAAAGGGGAAGAAAACCAACGACTTATCTAGGTACTATTCTCAGGTTACTTTTTGCTCATAAACTAATTTGGGTTTATGCTTCAACATGAAGACACGCTTCCTCGCATTTTCCCGGTGCCTGCTTTGCCGTCTTAGCAAAGGAAAGGTTGTTTAGTTTTCATGAGCGCCCAAAGTCAGGAGATATTAGCTTTTGATTGAACTGGTAAGTTATCCTCTTCATGCTCGAAACAGCTAGAAGAACAAATTTTGTTTTCATAACGATGATTTACAAGTCAATGCCTAACTAATTTTAACTTAAACAGGGAGGAGGCGTTTTTTGGACCAGAAAATGCAAATACTTTACCAAGTCATTGTCCGCATGGGTTCACCATCCGTTTTTTTTATTTAACTCAATGCTGTTCCAGTTTCTAAGTAAAATGGTTGAGTATTTTTTATAAATATGCGACGATGGCATGTTTAGATAATAAGGCGGTAGTCCATTGCTATGCGCATACATTTGTTAATTGCCAACTTAAATTTTCCTTTACGTTACAACACTTTTATGCTTAGATTGTCGATTAAGCAGGCTTCGTAAATCAAATGATGGGCAAAGGGACATGACTGAGCGGGTAATCTTCACAAAGCCAAACTTTTGACACGGCATTGTTTGAAATGTGTTAGAGTTAAGTCAGACGAAAGACACAGCCTGGTCTTGTGAGTTTGGTACAAGACGATTTTGAAGCCGAGGTCACTGATGCCTCAATTGCACAATTTAAAAATGGCCGCTAAACGAAAATATCTGAATATCATGCAAAATATGTCGATAGGAAATGTTGCCAGGAAACTTATGAAGACGATAGAGGCTAAAGCTGAAATTTCAGTGCAACTCGATCTCACCAAATCTATGGTTATAAAAAGGTATCTGGTTTTATGGCATGTGTGTTACGGATGATACTGAGGTTTACCAGCCATTAGTCAAGGAGGATCTTCGTGGAATGCTTCACTTTCCATTTTTCACATTCTTTCCTTTGCATTATAGTCGAAGCGAACTCAACGCGATGATATTTTTAGCCTGTTAGTCACTCCAACTGCGTGGGCCCGCATGATTGGAGTGCAAAACATAGATCGTCTCAGCTCGCCATGATGAGGCCTTTTGTAAATAATATGGCGCTTCTTTGCCATTAAAAGCGGAAAATATGAGAAAGTGACACTTGATAAATGCACACACGGCATGCAGCAAGCGACAAAGGAAAATTGCCTTAAATTGGGGATTTGCAGTAACATTTCAACGGGTGGTAGAAGACCGATGCAATGTTGCTGATGCTAAGTCGTACCGATTTATGGTAAAAACGCTCAGAGTTTAGAGAAAAGAGAAGAAGCATTGAAGCAGTTAAGCAATATCAACCTCTACGGTTCATGGAAAAGCACCAATCAGAGGTCAGACTCACTGCGCTCATTTCGCTAACGCTTGAATGATTACCTCTTTCAGCAAAATTTAGACATCCTTGAAGAAGTTTGAAAAATTTTAGTCTCTACTCCTGCGAAGACGGAGAACTATACCCAGAAGACCTGACAGTGCAGACACCTACCTCGTTACCTTCCTCTAACTCCGTCCTCTCCACCGTTGGTCAGTCCAAGATGCCCATGACGATGAAGGCTTCGTCGTCTAGACGTCCTGGACGGAAACTATTGCAGTGTCCTGTGCCCGGGTGTGACGGTAGCAGTCATGCCTCGGGTAACTACGCTTCGCACCGTAGCATCAGTGGTTGTCCGAAAGCAGATAAAGCCATTGTACAGGCTTTCCATGTGGAACAGAAGTAAGGAACCTTAAGTTTTGCTTTTCATTCTAAATAGGACTAGCGCCCTGCTTTGATAATTTGAAAATAGTTTATTTGCTTCATGAAAAGAATGTTGAAAAATTATAACGAGATAGGAAAATTCTACCACACAAGAGTAGTTGATTTGGTTAAATAATTAGGTAAACACTGCCAAAATATTCTATCCCTCCCTCCCCACCCAAAAAAAAACAAAGAAAATTTAGACAAATTTAAAATTGACGGAAACAAATGATGGCCACCTACAAGCACTTAGTCACGGAGGCTTTTTTGAACCCCAGCAAATTTAACATTGATGGAAAAATATTGCGAGATTGTTACCTTTTTTACCTTTGCTGACGTATGCCAACATAGCCTTGCTCTCCTTTTTTCATCGCCAAAACTTCGGTGCATACAATTCGCAATCCCAAGAGGTGGATGCAATTTCAAATGAAAAATGGGAAAAGTTGAACAAGGTAGCGCGCTGTTTAGTTATGACCGAGCGTGCACAAATCTTTTGTTCCTTTTTCATAAAAGTTGCAGTGCAGTTGCATTGCATTGGACAAGTGCAAATTAGATTAAAGAATAAAGTGATGTTTTTCATATAGTTGCGACATTTTTTTCGAGCTTCGGAATGTTGAGGAGCGGTAAAGTGTTGCTAAAGAAGCTGAAGTGCCACTGATGGTAGGATGGAGTTATAATGGAAAGTGTGTAACTGCTGGTGTTTGCGCCACTCAGATGGGGCACTTGTAACACCAACTGCTTTAATGTACTTGAATAATCACTTTTCCGGAATTTTATTTTCTGGACTCTGTGACATATTGCTACATTTGAAATGCTTGAATTAGACCATTTGATAATTTATGAGGAACAATAGGAACTTAATCATAGGCTCTTGAGGAGAGTATCAGAATTAGCCTTGGTGAATGCAGTCATTTAAGTGTTAGAATGTTTTAAAAATATGCTTACATGTGAAGGTATGAAACGGTGAGTAGTTGAGTCGATGCCCTAATCAGGAGAGCAAATTGACGGTGAATCACAGTTGACTAGACCTGCACCTTTCATTTCACATACACTTTAAACTTAAAAGGAAAATTGGTCTCTGCCTAAGATAGTATGTTTGCATTCTAATCAGCCAGTTTCACTCCCTTGAGGTGTAAGGATTGGTAGATAGCAAATATGACTTGATCTCCGCGCCAAACGATTAAAATAACTTGGGAAATTATTCCTTAAACCATGTTTGTCTCTTAAACGATAAAACGTATCAAGTGAAACTTACGGTGAAGGATCCTAAAAGGCAAAACTCTAGAGTGTGCTTAGCCATCGGTTTATTTAGATACGTTCTCCTTGAATCTTCATTTGCAAAAAATTAGAAACTTTTCGGTAGAAAGTATTTGTGGACAACAATTTTTCCACTTTCCAGTCGCACCTTAATAATAAGGTGAAACGTTTAAATGATCGGTTAAGAAATCCTGTAGCAGTCATTCATTGTTACCACAGAGTTTACCCCAAGGAAACAAAATGAATGGATAAATTAATGGCTAGCAGTATTCCGAACGTTTCGTGCTTGAGAGAAGTCTTTTTGCCCCTCTCCTTCGCGCAGATGCCCAACTCCAGGATGCGACGGTTCGGGCCACGTGACTCGGAACTACACGAGCCATCGCAGTCTCAGTGGCTGCCCACGGGCCCACTTAATGGGAATCAAACGACAACATCAGATTCTTGCGTATCGTAGCCAACAACAAGCCCAGGCGCAGGCTCAGCTCAGCTGCCTTAGCCTCTGCCGCTTGCAGGCACTCTCTTCATTGCACAGCAGGCCCAAATCCGGCGAAGCAGGTACCCAGTGGACGCCAGATTCGATGTAAGGCCGAGTTGGCTTCTGTTGCTATGACTGTCTGTTTCATTTCACGCTCTGTTAAGTAAAAGTTGGTTAAATATTTGAGGGACCATACTTAAAACTGCGTCAGAGAACTTGTCTTGCACTCGTCCTCACGACACAAACAGGAATGGATTTCGAGGCTTAAAGGCTAAAACGCTTGTCGTGCATGACAAACTATCAACAATAGGAGCCGTATGTCTTTGATAAAGAAAAATTTTGCCTACTGAAATAAAATTAGTAACAAAAGATGCAAAACAAAGAAAGATTAGTCATCGTACTTTTAATTAACTGTGAGATCAGTTAGGACTGTGCGCAAGCGCTCAAAGGCTACAAAATAAACAGATAATTGCGAAATCACTTCTTCCGCCCAGGATAAAACCAGATGCACCGGTTGCACGAAAAGCAGCAAATGACTTTCCTCCGCCCAAAGAATCACACGAGATTGGAGTCAACGAGGTCCTTAAAGCAGAAGCACTCTTCTCCACTGCCCATCTCCTCAACACCGGCGGCAGCAGCATTGTGTCCCAGACATTCAACAAGCAGGATTCGATAAGGGATTGAGCAGCGCAAAACCTCGCTTTGTACATAGCCAACATTAGGAACGCGTAACGAATGCATTGGTGCAGTTTGAAATTCTTGATGGCAACGTCACTTGGACTTCGAACTGCTTACGCAGGTTTAAGTAGTCAGGAATGAATATTGAATAAGTACGCAATCGTATTCATTGTGAGTTCTTTGAGGGAGAGGGAGGAGGAGGCGGGAAGTAAAGCAGAATTGCATGTTTCGCATCTAGACAGGGCGAATGATTTTTCACTTTGCATTTCAAAGGAAGGCAAAGCTGACAAAGCACTGCTCTACTTAACCTATCTTGCTTGGGAGCCAGTTTATAGTCAGTTAACTGATGATTGCATAGGTGTAGGTAACCCTCAACCCTCCCATAATTTGGATTTTACGACAACGCAAGCCGTTTTAATCATTAGCATATACGTGGAAGAAAGTCCCATACCATTACCTCCAACGGTTGTCTACCTGGAAACAAATACAGCGGAGCTCCTGAAGCAAAACCGTCATTATAAAGACGAGGGAACTCGATTGTGACCTCTGCCCTACTGGCTAATTTTGCATATGAATGCAAGGAATCAAGGGGAAGAGGCATTACTAAACATTTTCCTCCTCTTAATGTTATTTTAAGATTTGGTTTGTGATTCTCATAAATTATTTATTGCTGAGGAAATTCATCTGGTTGGATTGTTGAGGAGCTTCGTCTTCAAGTCCAACATTGCCATCAACGCGAATATCGAAATTGTGTTCAGAATACGTAACACTTTGAAGGCAGAGAAATTTGCTGCCACGTAATTATTCCCGTCTAGACTAGAAGCAGTGGTGCTGTATAAAAACGCGTTGTAAGCTGGATTATACCACGCGATGCATTTCACCTGAACCACTAACTGGCTAGCTGGGAGGCGCTCATGGGAAGAGCAGTAAATACCGGACCATGTAATTTGAGTCAAGCTAAAAAAAAACCATCACAGTCAAAAGCTGTAATTTGGTAATGTAGACGATTTGAATACTGCATTCCTTCATGCGAAGAACGACCAAACCGACACATTGCTGTTAATGGACAAGATCACTAACGAGGAAATTGCATTATACCTCCTAGTAAGAAACAATTGCACACTTTAAGACATCAGGTCACAAGTTTTAGCAAGATTGAAAGACTAAAGGCAAATATGCTCATAAAATTCGGTCAAGCAGTTAAAAAAGAAACAAAACACAGGTTTTACCGCATGCTAAAGCTATTGATGCTTAAGTGAAAGAGTAACTTAAGGAAATAAATAATGTCACAATCACAAAGTGAGTTAAATCAAGTAATATTGACTAAGTTATAGCATTTAAGTGATCAAGGTCTGAAGCCTCCACTGCTTGGAATGCAGCACCTTAGAGTCTTTACTTGTGAAATTGTGGTGGTCTGAGGCCCGAGAGGCCAGTAGCATTAGCTTGAAAGTTAACACATACGTTGCTAAAATGGTTGGTTGGCAAAAAATATATTAAACAGCAGCAGTGCTTCCGGTTTTCGGAACGGTTCAGGGCAGCAATGACAGCCCCGAATTATTTCCATGTGGCGTTAGCACTTGTTTTTCATATTGTTTAAACTTACACTGGCTTTGCATACTATTAGAGAGGGCCTATTGTAAGAGGTGCCTGTCTGCCCTCTGCTCCCTGAACCTCAGACCTCAAGACACGTGATTCGCGTTCCCAATTGGTTCCCGCCTCTCACCTATAAAAGTACACTTAAGCGAACTATTATATATTACACCTATAGCATTACAAGAGCATATATAACATTTGCAAAGTAGTTTGAGAAATGTCCATTTTCAAGCCATAGTTGCAAATTTTTAAATGTGAGAATAAGAAAATCAGAGGGAGTAACTGCTGAAACGAAATAGAAAAATCGTTTAAAGTCACTAAAGACCCTTTGGATGCTTTAATTCAATGGAAAGTTTTGGGTAGCTACAGGAGCAACTTCGAATTTCAACCTATGGTAGATGCTTGTCAATTTCGCTTTTATCGGAGGTCTGGCCGCTAAATTATGCTAGAGGCTCTTAATCGCTGCATTCACTGAACGCCTGTTTTTTGCAAGAGCACTACTCTACCTTCAAGAAGATCTTAGGGTACCAAACTAGAAAGTATGCATTGCGAGTGCTTCAACTACAAACACTAATAATTGGAGCACAGGTTACCGATCAGAAGTTTCTCGTCTTGAAGTAGTGGATGTAAAAGCCCAAGTAGAACAAGTTTTAGCTATAGAGGGTACACTTTAAAGCATAGAATAGCGTATGCTCTGCACCCAATCGAACCTCGAGTTTAGCGTCTATTACAACTTTTATTTAGGTAAGTCCTTTCACAGTATCACACTTCGATTTTGTATACATTTTCCTGTATCAAAATAATAATGAAGTCATGCTTCGCAATGACGGGGTTAATGAGGCCGCTAAAGGAGCATTGTTAAAATGAAAAAAACAAGATCATATATTTTCGATTGTTTTAGCATACTGAGTGCAGTCCGCTTCCGAAGAAAATGAACCGAGAAGAAGCATTAAAGGTTTTGCGTAGGAAAGATGCTATCCTGGAAAATCCTGTAGTTGTTGCCGAGGCTATCAAGGTGTAAGCTGAACTTAAACTCACGTGCCTTCGTTAATGCCCATATTCAGTTCTACTTTATATCTGAAGCCTATTCTACAAGGACTTGTTTTTTGCTACTTATCGTTACCTAACATGGCACGTCTACTACTTTTGCCACAAATTATCTTTTTCTGCGTGTACAATTCATGTCATATGTTTGTGTTCGGTCTTGGTTATGTGTTTTAAACTTCCGTGGTTTAGTGTGGCATGTCGTGCTCGGATCTAATGAAAAGACCCAATTTAGGTGGTTATGATTTCACTGCCTTTGGTTTGTTTTCCGAATAATCAACTTTTCATATATTATGCAGTATTGTCGAACAATTTGCATTTGATTTGATAGGGTTCAGAATACGACTAGTAGCCGTGGAAGCGGTGGAGCTGCCTCGGACAACAGTGGCGACTCAGAAAATCCTGTTGATTTATTAGTTAACAGCTACAAAGGCGCGATCGAATTTCTCTTTGAGATTGGCACATGGCTAACCTACACCGACGACGATGCTCAGTCAACTCGTAATATTATTGAATCCGTTGTTATGGAGACCATTTTGCAAAATTACGACCGAAACAAAGCCATAAAGTGCCTTACTGAGGAAAATGTTGATGTAAGTCAAAATCTTCTTGAAGTCCTGTCCAAAACCCGATTTTGTGATTCTGTGACGATAACTCTGCAGCACATTCTCCGTACCTCATATACAAATAACTTATACAAAGTGAGTACATATTTTGGACACGGTTATTTAAGTTTTCATTTGTTGGTATTCAGGATACAATGGAGTGGCTGAGTCATTTGATTGAGTCAGCGCGATGGCGCCAAACCATCTACGAGTTAGCCCAACAACCACGCAATGAGGACTGCCCCTTCCTTTCTCTCACCATGCCTTGTATAGCCGTTAAGGAGGAGCTCATCGGTGAGCTTATTTCCGTGCCTCTGGCATGGAATACTTTGGAGATCTTTCTCAAGTGTGTCGCCTACATCCTCCATCCGTTGTTAAGCGCCAACGCGGAGCTTATGGACGACGATCTCTTCCTGCGCGACATTGCCTTCCTTCAATCTCCCTCAATGTCCTCCGCGCATCAGCCACCGCAGCAGCAGGATACGGTGCTTAGCCATTGCTTACTAGACGTGGAGGTTGATCCAGATAAAAAGCGAATTTATCAAATTCTGCGGCATTTTTTGGTGAGAGTGAAGTTTTTCTTCAGGTTAGATACAAAAAGATGAGTTTTGGATAATATTTCAGGGTCATTCATGGTTGTTTACGTCCTTTTTTCCCAGAGGTCGATTAATGCTTTAATGGGTTTTTTGTCATTCGACTTGGTAGTCTTTATCTCGAATTTTCAACCGTTTGTTCCAACCCTGTGGCTACGCAAGCTATTTTCCGGCCAAAATAGTAATTGATTATCCAGATACTATGTTCACGGTCTAGCTATTGTTGGTTCTTTATTGCCTGAGTCACTCTTGGTTATCTGAGGGGATTAGAGTACTAAAGAACTTCTTCCGTGAATTTTCTTTGCAATGGGAAGGCTTTTGGTTTACCGAAAATCTGTTATAGGGACTGGGTCATTGTGTATCAGAGGTGAGCGTTTATTAATGTTGGATTGGGCGGGTTCCTGGTACTAAAACATTACGTGACTTTACAATGCCATTCAAATTTGCACAGACAAGCTTTTTTTCCGAAAGTAGAGACCAACATGTTTTGGGAAGGGCTTGATGGCTTTCAATTTGTGACTTAGTATACCTGTATGCATTTTTATTCAGAACATTGAAACCTTTTTCATTCCCTTGCTTTGTTTCTTCAGCGCTAAGAACATTCCAGTTTCGTATTTTTTTGTATCGAGATAAAAATTTGTGCATTTTCGTATTTTGGGTTATAAATGAACCGTTTTTGTACCTGTGCATGACTTACAGTCGCTTAACATTTTTACTTAGGAGTGTTTTCTCAAGGTTGGTTGCGCGTTTCCGCTAGGTCTCCCGCAGAATGTTTTAGTGGGAGGCCTAAGGACGTTTGAAAGAAATAAATGTAAGGGTAGTGTGAATGGGTTCCTGTAGCAGTACAATGGAAAGCTTGCCTCCCTGTATTTGAGCAAAACACTGTACTATTTAGTCGATAATTTGGTAAACAAATCACTTTTGACAAATGCTCAAATTTAAGGATCAAGAGTGTTGCTTTCGTTTGATTTTGCTCAAGGCGAACTTTGTTATGTTAGCCTTAAACATCACATCCACTGCGTTTGATCGAACTTGGGGTCCTCATATTAGATCCGTAATGCATGCATATCCGTTTTATTTCGTAACCTAGCTAAAGTTTTATCCATTATCTCTGGTTCCACTAACCTCTGCTCTTACAGATCTGTTGTTAGAAGGCTTTTGGTCTGACAAATAGTTGAGAAGCACTTTTCTCGTAATTTGGAGACAAGTCGATACATATTTCCTCTGGTGAAGGGTGGTATACTACTGCAAAAATTACATCCGGTTGTGGGTTTACCTACCTCATCTGGAACCATCCGCAATCCCGTATCGGACAATTTGACCAAAGCTGAAAAATTAAGACTGTTATGCTTCTAGATGTAGCTCTCAGTTATCTTTAGTGCCATTGCTAGCCGGTATCTCAGGGAAGTATTGTTGTATTTTCCAAAAGGAGATGGGCTGCCACAGTGAACAGACCTACCTTATAATTCAATCAATGCTGCAGTGTCTAATTCGCCAACGGAACGACAACGCTGCAAGGCACCTCTCCTGGCTACTTGAGTCTGAGGCTAGTCGTCGTGGGCGGGATGTTAGCCGGTATAGCGTCTACTTCTGCTTCGCCCGAAACTACCCTACCGAAGTAGCTGCCATGCGCGCCATACTATCCGAGCAGTCCCTCCTTCCCCAACAACTTGATGCAGTGAGTTTCTCCCCTTTTGGCGGGTAGAAAGTGAATTCCACTTATCCAGGAATTCTTAAGGTGGGAATGGTTTTCGCCGTTACCGTCGAATTTAATTTTTTTTATCTTGAATAATCATCAGTAGAGGGACGTCTGTCTGATCCATTGAAAGTAAGAGCAAATTTTTAGTAAGGATCGGAAGTAGCTTGATGTTATTGATTCCACAATACCATGATTACGTCTTTTTGCTTTTGATTTTCCTCATGTAGCTTTATGCGGCGTACAGAGGCGAAGCACCTCCTCCAGTCAGTCTGATTCGACAACCCTTTTTCATCGGCAAGTGTTTTATGCGACAGAAATTACTAAAACACATCTCATTTTTATTTCTTGGATAATCCTAGATGTATCTACGTGGGTCTAGTTGCAGTTTATGTTTAGCCCTCTATGTGTCGAAAGATTTTTAAATAAGTACGCCTCTCATCTCATTCACCAGAAACAGAGTTAAGTTCTTATCATATCCGAACTAACACTTGGAGTAACAGTGTTCCTCCTCCCGAGATTTGTTTCTAGTTCTTCATCAACGTGAGGCGGTTTAAAGTTAAAAGGTATAACAACGCAGAAATCATGGCCCATTTTAGGTAACGTGTTCAGAAAGTTTAATTTGTATCATTTTCTTTCCTGAAACTGATGTGGCTTAGTGAAAATAGCAATTACCTACGCTCATCGGCGCTCTAAAGTTTGGAGGAGCGGTTCTAATTTTACTAGGCCATAGGGCAACAGCACAGATCAGCAGTTAGAGATCCTATACTATGAGGATTCACACAAGGTGAGCTGACTACATTGTGCTTCACCGTGCTTTTGCAGTGATGCTGGCGGATGCGTTGTTTGCAAGTCCGGAGCGCCTTTTGAGTGAGCAGCAGGAGTGCTATGCTTACCTCTACGCATACGCCTCAGTGACGGCGGAGAAGGTTGACTATGAAACTGAGTGTCGTCTCCGCCTTGATCGTTCCCGAGTCGCTGAGGTTAATAGGGAGGTGTTGGAGGCCAGTCGTATCTGCAAACATGTGAGTTTTCCCTCATTTCCTATTGCCATCAGCGTGATCTCTAAGCGTGAACCACTCGTACTCTATATGCACAGTTCAAGAAATGGATTGAAATAGTTGGAGGTTTGGTGGTACTTTTTTAGGCTAAGTTTTTGAAAGTTGCCTGAAAGAAGGCGTGATATACCTTGGTCGGGTGAGCCCAAGGGTGATGCTTTTCATAAAAACGGCCAATATTTTGGGATTTCATGTAGCTTCAAGAAGCTATTCTGTTCGTTTGAGTCGTCGTGAAGTCCGTTTACTAATTTTGGTATAGTAAGCTTCAGGGGGGGTGTCGAAAATATTTCTTGCTTTTTCAATCTCAAGCTTTTTCACTTCTTATGTGATACCGCCAATTACTCATCGCGTGCCTATCATACGACATTAAAAGGCATGAGGTTTGGCTCCAAAGGTTGATACGATTAGAGGAATAGATCGATTCTGAAGTGGCTAAATCATGAGAGGTCAAAAAGGATCATGTAGGGCTAGATATCTTCTCACTGTGGAATCATGATACAGCTTCGTTCTTTGTAAACGAACAATCACTTTTGATGCATTTCTATTTTTCCTTCAGTGGAATACAATGACAGGCAGCGCGATGAGTCTACGAGCCTTCCGTGATTTGCCAACTCTATTGCAATGTCTGCATCACCGAGCGATCTCTTTTGGTGTGTTTCGCTTCCTCTGGGTCATTTTTCGCTCCAAACGGGTAGACTTTGAGCTCAATCTTGAGACTATGAAACCATACTGTATTGTTGTGAACGAACTCGCCACTCTTAACCCCTTCATTCGACCGGCGCTACTTTCCTTCATCACTGAACTTCTTGGATCCATCATGGAGGGCATGGAGGATCTTAGTCAGGTGAAATTGTTTCTTTTATCTCTGGTCATCATTTTCTTTTCGCAAGAGTGGAACTATCTCTGAAGATAGTGTAATGCCATATGGATTGAGTAGTCTAGTGCTACTAGTGGTTTATGTGGAATATCGAAACAAGCAATACTGGGTAGTAGAGGTGGTAGTGTAGTGGTGATACGCATAGTCAAGGTAGGTGATATAGGATTTTTACCTTGTTTTAGTTTGAACCGTCATTTACCACCAACGAAAGGTAGAATGAAGTCACCTATTATTTTTGTGCAGGTGAATGTTACGTTCCCTGGGACGGTATGTTAAACCATCATGACTGAACTCCATTTCAGTGGTTTGACGTATACCTTCCTGATCAGACTACTAGGCCATTAGTATTCTTCGCAGCTCATCAGAACTAGAATCAGTAAAGTACCATTGAGAAAGGTTTTTTCATTGAAATGTAGATGACCTATCCGAATACGCTAGCAATGCATTTTTCGACCCAAAATTGTGCTTTTGAAAATTTTGTATGCGATTTGCGGTGCTGTTTTGTGCTTGCGGCCGAATAACTAATGAAATGGTATCTGAAATCGATCTTTGCATAAAATTCCCACGGTCTTGTTTACGACTCAAGTGTTTGTGATCATTTGGATGCAGGGCTGGTGAAGTCAGTGGTTGATGTGACTGCAGTACCTACATTCATACACTTCCTTACGTGATAGTGAAATAGGGAATTTAATTGCAGGTTATGGCTGTTGATTTTTAATTGGCTGCCCAGGTTCAGAGAGACTTAATCTTAGTCATAACATATTTTTTTTACAAAATGTCAGCATTATGGGCTGTCTATATCTCGTGCCATAATGGCTCCTTAATATGAAGCGAGATCACTAACTCCCAACCCTTATTTAATGCTGAACATTTCTTAGTAAATTTTGTAGTGCTTCCCAGAACATTGCCCTTGAATGAGGTTCTCCATATTTCATGTTTCTGCAACAATGGTTGCAATCGTCTTTTCAAATGTTGGTCGTATTTAAACCGGCATTGGCAGTTTTCCGCCCACTATGTGACATAGGGTTGATTGAAATCCGACTGCGGGTTACATTCGTTTTTTCTTCCAGTTGGAGTTCAAGCGGATGCTAGTGGGATTGCTGGTCCACCTCATCACTTGTGGCTACGTTCTGCCGACTATTCGGACAATGCACTCCCTTTTCGAGCGGAATCATGTGGATGTCTCCATTGCGCGGCACTTTGTCACCGAGGTGAGTTTTCGCCTCCCTTGTTAATCTTCTCTACGCCTATCAATCCGTCCATCCACCCACTCTCTTAACTTGCTTTGGTGCTGAATTTTTTTTTTAATTTTAGCTCCTCAGTGTAGCCGCACCACCGTATGACCCGACGTTCATGAACTGCCTTCATCCTCTTGTATCTCATCCACATATCGTTGATGGTCTTCATGCTGGTCGGAATGCCGATCTCGTGAAAGAATTTTTAGGTACGCTTATTTTGTATTTCCATAGGAAATTTTAATTAATATTTGAAACCTATATACTTGTGAATATTTTAGCTAGATACACTGACCAGACAAGGTCTTCAAGTCCGGAGTGAAATGGGCACCGTGGTCACTTACATTATGTATATATATATTTGTACAATAACTTAATGTTGATTTATTAATGCTAATAGATAAATATATGCTTCTATTTCACTACTATCTCCCAGTCTTTGCTATAGCGTTTTTGTAGGCTGCGGGCATTGCTGCTTTCGTGTGCTATTCCGTTTAATACCCATGGGGACTTATTCATCATTATCGCGGCAGGCCCTGTAATATTCCATAGTAAGGCTGTTAATGAGAAGGTTAAGGTGGAGGACGTGCCGCCGTGGTGTTAATAACCAGGGGTTTTGGGTTTGTAGTGACTCAGTCGTGCAGTAGAGTGATATACTGCAGTTTTGTTTTTTTTCGGTGCGTTTGGTCATATGCTCTGGAAGTCACGCCCTTTTAGAATTATGCCAATTGGATGAATTATTTATACTTAGCGTAGCATTTCGCGACTTTCCATAGGATCGAAGAAGGTAGTAGGTTTGACTGAATGCATGTATTCCGAAGAAAACAGCTCAAATGGACCTGAGCATGGCTTGAAAGTCACCCACGAGTACAAGGGCAGGGAAATTCTAAATTGACCACCAAACGTCAGGTAGTCACATAGACCAGGCATTACAGTGTCCCTCTTATTTTGAACGACGTCGTCGGCGTTTCTCTTGGTACACCTCCCGAGCCATCCATCACAATTGTAATACTTTTTTTATGTGACTACATGACGTTAGGCGACCACTTTAGGAATCGTCTGGTCCTTGTACATGTGAGATGGCCTTCGGGCCATGCCCAGGTCCATTTGTCCTGCCGTCTTCCGAATAGATGTATCCAACTGAACTTGCTGACTTTTTATACCGGCCAGGAGGTCTCGAGAAGCTACATCATATCCGGTACTACAAAAAGGCACCAACGAGCCAACTGTGCCAGTCGATACTTAGCGGTTGGGGGCATTTTAGGTAGTGTAATCGGCATCATTTTTGCAAAATAAGTGCGCAAACTTATTAATCAAGATCAACGAAGTTATTTGTTTTAATAGCCAATAGGTCAAAGCAATTCCGTCTGCTCAACCTTAAAAATACTGGTCTTTTTATTGCTCATAATCTTTCGTTCAGATGACCTACATGACTTTTAGTTAACCAAATCCAAGACTGCATTTGTTTGGTATTCGTTCAAAACTATGCAAACTGTAAGCCAAAATACTTTTTATTCTTAAAAGGAATTCGCGTCAAAACGGAAGGATTTTAGAAAATATTTAGAGAATGCGGGGATATTGGATGCGTTCACTAACGGTAATTCTTCCCAGTTCTATTAAATAGTAAAATCGTTGCAGCTCTGATAAAATTGTTTGAGCTACCAGAAAAACCTGCTGATCCAATCAGGTAATTTTAAAGAAGCCCAAGAGCCTCGAATAACATTTAAAAAGTGTAATTTTTAATAAAGAAGTCAAACCTAATAGTAGTTACAGCTTGTCTATTATTGCGCCAAATGTTAAAACAAAAATAGGTTCTCTAAAGACAAATAACAACTACAGAAATCCTGTATAAAAGCTAAAATATCTAAAGTGAATCTATGGAATTTGTGCTTAATTGTGAGTATTCGGTCATCACTGATTACCTTGCTTCTTATTTGTGTGCCATTTTACAATCAGTATTTTAAGGGACTTTCTTACATGTGACTCACATAGTTGTTAATCAAAATACTTAGTTTACTTGCTAGATGAGCACCATAATACTAGCACAAAGAAATAATTAGTCTTTACATGACATTTTTTGTCACCATCGAATAAACTCTGTACTAAACGTGTCTTTTGAGCAGATTTCTAAAGGAGTGTTTTGATGAGAACGTATCGGAGGAGGAAACTGATCTAAAAAGGGAGAATGATGAACTTAAAATAAAAGTTATGAAGCTGGAAAAATTAGTCAATGGATTGCAAGAAAAACTGGCAGATGGTCAAGAAGACTCAAAAAAAGTTCTGGATGCTGAGGATTCTTCCCAAGATTAAGGGCCATTACTGATTTTTGGTATTGATATCGATGTCTATTTCTCAAGATCATTATGTCATATATCTATGGACTATAACTCTTCTCAGTGCAGCGTGAAGTCCCGACTTCTTAACACTTTCAACTAATTTCAAAATGTTGGAGGTTTTTGGGTTTTATGTGATTGCTGATGCGGTTGCAGTAAAAATAGTGAATATCATTGGTGATTTGTAATCCTTTTGGTAAAGAACCTAAAAATAATCTAAGCTAGTTTTGTTCGCTGACCCGAGATGAATGCGGTTTTGACATTTTGCTTTGTAAAATCAAGTACACATGATTTTAATCTGTTTTCTCTACTCGTTGAAGATAACTCACTACAAACTGTCTTAGAAAATGGAAAACCACAATACAACTACGTATATGCGTCTGGAACAAAAAATCTGTCGCCCACCAACAATCCTAAACGTTGCTACTATTCACCACTGATCTTGAAGTGATTTGTTTGGCTGGTCAAGTGGACCAGGACCTGTGTTTTGAATGGGTAAACATCTTTACAAACAATTGAAAAATACGCGAATTTATATCCGACAGATTAAGAAACTAACTTGAGTGATAGGAATCATTTGATTAGATAACTGAACATTTAGCAATAAAACGATTTTCATATTTGTTAGAGGTCTATTTTATCAATCAAGGATTTAATGTCCTGCGCTAGGTAATGCAAGAAAACAACCTACCCACCACTCTTAAGCACGAATAGCCGAAAATTCTGATGTAATCTCGTATAACTTCAGTGGCACATCAAACAATGCAACAGAAATTAGCAGGCTGTCACTTTGGTGCACTTAAGAGGCCTAATGATCAGAATTGCTCCCCTGGCTTCACATCTTACAGTGGCGAATATGTCCATGGGACGATAGTTAAATTCGCAATGCATTGTTTACTGATTTATTATTCCAAGGGATTACAACCCCAAAGAAGCGTTGATGTTTGCTTGCATAGTCTGTTACGGTGGACCACTAGGTTTAGTGGTCTCCAATGTCGACAATTCAGAGTGTCACCAATTCTAACTACTAAAAGGAAAAAGTAACATAAAATAAGCAAATAATTGCATTTACCAAAATGTCTCAAGGGGATAAATCACCTGATTCTATCCTCCCATTCTTGGCATTCTAGCGGTCAATAAATAAATACACTCTAGTATTTGTGGAAACAAGGGACAGAGGCATTATTCTAACACAATGCCCGCCGTCTACTGAATGTGAGTTTTTAAGAACCAACAGGCTTAGAAGTACGACAACATTTTTCGTAAAATTCATTTAAATATACATTCTGCTTTAGACTTTGCACTACAATGACAGGGTCATTTAGCAGCAGAAAAGGTCGATCCACATTTGGTACAATTATTGCTGGTAGTAGATGATTAAACAGTCTAAGGGCAAAACACGAGGTACAAAATTCGGCCATTTGCCGAACAGTGCATGAGTCGAGGTGACAAAAAGGGGTCAGCAAAAATGGCAAATTGTAAGTTTATTTCAAGAACCCCTACAACAAGAAACAGTCATTTGTTACAGGATGGCAGGAACATTTTTCTGCTGTTTTTATGCATGTCTCTACCAGATTGCCAAGTCAGTTGTTCATCAGCACTTTCAGGATGCATCTTGAGACAACACGGAATGCCATTAAAAAGAAAGTATAAATTTTGGACAAGAGGACATGTTACAATTTTAAACTTTATGTAAACAGACCTGCCAAAGTCTGGGCCACACACGAAGCTTATTGCATAATTAATGTAAAAAGATTCCCTATTAATTTAGCAAAAGTCAATTAAGAAACTGTGTAGAATCCCCACTTTTTGATGGCCCCAAACGAAGCTATCATCGCTAAAAGTATTGAATGTACTATCCGAAAATGGAATAAAAGCGCAAAATGGACCTGTTAGTGTAAATCAGGCAATCAAGATAGAACTGGACAAGGATATTGTCGTCTGACATCCTTTGTGCCAAGAGGGAATGAGAGTGTTTGGTCATACATCCTCCACCTGCAGATCAGAGCAAACCGATAGACTTCCATGCCAGTGATATGTTGGGTAAGGAAACTCTCAACGACGATCCACAGTTACTGAAGGTGGTACAACTGTTTCAATGTCACGCAGTCATTGCAAGTGGCTTCCAACGCATAAGGAGTAAGAACCGTTAGTCAAGAAGACTGCAGCTATCTCAGAAACAGCTGTAATGCGAATTTCAGCAGTGGCTAGCTGTACTTTCTCACTGACATTTTCGGTCGAGACGACCCATTGCCCGCAAAACAGAAAGGTATCCACCACTGATTTTGGACAGAGTTGCATGGAAATGCAAATGGAGAATCTTTTCACATGAGGGAGCCCTTTTAAGTAAATGGTAGACTGAAAAGTAAGCGCAAGTTGAAAGCCGATCACTGGTGGGATATATGGCGATGATTCAGCAGTAATTCGTTTCATTTATGAATATTTGATAAATAACCAGGATGTGTACATAACTGTGGTGAAGGAATTCATTCAGGAGCCAAGTCCGTCTCGCACTCTACTTAAGCTTGTTTCGTTGTTTGGCCATCATAAGTATTCAGTTCTAATGCAGACGGACCTCTGAGCAATAAAATCAAAGGTCGAGGCATATGAAGAGGTAAAGATTAAAAGGAGTGAGAATCAAGATTTTTCTCCAACGGGCGTATAAGGAGGAAATGGAGAGAAATTCATACTTGACTTTCTTTTACGCGATTGGACCGACTGATGGCGAGTCAAGCTATACAAGTGGCAGGATGAAGGCTGCCACACAGATTTGAATTTCCCACAAAAATGTCAGGACGGTGAAACTTCAGCATGGGGTGGTGAACAGTCCGCCAACATTCCTACATGCTTTTTAATTCGGGTGGATAAATTTTCACTTCGAATGGTGCAGTACATTTGACTCATCAAAAGG